CGGACCTCAAACACAATTGCAGTTGGAGTAAGACTGCATACATCCTCAAATCCAAGTTTGGTTGCAAGATCTATTACAAGATAAATCGAAGTATTTATTTATTTCAAGCCAAAACACAGTCGATTGAGAAGAAGATTTTTAAAAAAATATATAGCATATATAACGAAGTAAACATCCAAAAAGAAAAAAGAAAAAAAAAGTGTATTGAAATCATACTTTGAAGAGAAACTTTAACATCCGCATTCGCATATGCTTCGCCCCTCTCTTCATAAAGGGCAGATAATCGCTTCATAGTCTAGACAAATCCCAAATCGTACGAAGAAAAGAAAATTAATTAATAAAACGAACTGCAAATGAGCATATGAAAAACTAAATACTAGTTAAGGAGAATTATCCCTTAAACTTCAATCTAACACTACTCAGCATTTATCCCATTTTACAAACACAAACCTCAAACAGATTATTTGTCATGCCTCAGGATAGCAATTTCGATTTTGAAAGATTGGGCAGCTTTTTCTTTTTCATTTTTGCAATTAGGCTAAACATCATCAGGAATACTTTCTGTCGACAGTGAGGCTAAATAAACGATTTATTCCCTTCATAAGTACGTAATAATATCATTTACATATTTGCAGCTTACCTTGGAATAAGGATCCCCAGATTCATGATGCAAAAGGGGTCGAGAATTAGTTCCAATAGCTGTGATTCGGTGTGCTAAGGCTTCCAAAGGCACATCAAGCCAAACAGTAACACCCTTTCGCATATGTTTCCTAATAAGGCAAAAAGAATCACCAGTTATAAGACAGCTGTACATTGGACGGGATAATTTCAATGATTTCAGGTATTATTACCAATTCACAGGCCGAATAACTGCACCTCCACCTGTTGAGATAACTAATCCACGCAGTGGAGACAATTCACGCAATACTTCAGTCTAGAAAAAAAAACCACACACACACACACACAAGGAAATAGAAGAAGAAAGAACAAAAAAGCAAAACATAAGCACATCGAATCAAAAATAAGAAGCAAAACAGGAAAGATTTGGATTTAATAAGAGCAATGATATGTGATAGAAAAGGATGAACCAGCTAGAAGTCAGCTACAGGTTTAACAGGTAGATCCTTAAAACAACATTTTCTCAAGAAAAGTTTTTGGTTCAACTAACAGAAGGCTCAAATAAAATGAAAGAGAAGTTAAAAGGATGCAAATTTTTTGGGCGAGTGTATGGAAGAAAGAAAAAACACCATTTTGTTGTTAGGCCTGATACCTCGTTATCTCTGAAATATTTCTCCCCATATGACTTGAAGATTTCAGACACTGTTCTTCCACCAACAGCCTCCTCTACCATTTTGTCACTACAACATTCACAATTCACATAATCTATAGTTTTAAGTGTAAATCCTTGTACTGGTGAAGAGTGCAATTTCAACATTCTGGATGATTAACAAACAAACGCATAAGAGCTAGCAATACTGGTCCTGTAAGTAGGTGGGGTAACACTTTTTGTCCCCGTTATATTCGAATCTTAGTCCTACAAAATTTAATTCTTTGCATTTTAATACTATAAGTTTTAAGTTTGTTCGATTTGGAGGAAAAATGATAGGTTAACATTGGATTATTCACAAAATGCCCTTAAATGTCAAAAGTTCTAATGCCAGGTAAAGTTACAAGAGTTGTGTTTTCTCTTTTTTACCACTAAAATAAGGGTGCTTGTAAAATTACATTTTTTACTGAAAGCAAAATCTTTAAGGACAGAAATTTTGACATAAAGGAGTTGAAGGACTCAAAAAACCAATCCCCAATAGTTACAAGACTAGGATTGCAACTTAGCATTCATTCCTCACTTGCAATTAACAGAGAGAATAATATTTGGAGGGGCTAACCAGTCGAAAAATGTATATCGAAGGGCTTCTGCCAAAACCTTGCCAACTGTTGTTTTTCCAGACCCCATCATGCCTGCAATAGCATAGTAGTTAAAATGCAAACGCCATTAAGCTACATATACTATTAACTCAAGACAGCTGACATTAGTACCCACCAACAAGATATATACATCTACCATGCAAATATGGTTTGATCTCTTCTTCCGATTTTTTCTGCAACAGCATTCACATACAAGTGACGGGGCCAAAAAGCTGTCTTCAATTAACACTTTGGATAGGCTAATTTTCTAAGTACACCAATTAATAGATAGACAACAAAGTACCTCTTTGGGAAATATGAAAAGTTTAAATTTTCATTGGAGACATTGCTGAAAGGAAGAAAAAACGTAAGTACAACTTACCTTCATTATCTTTAATTCATCTGGAACCTCAGTAGCCTCCAGCACGGAAGCTTAAGAACGAAGAAAACAAATAGGATATTATCAGTGGCCGGTTATTTACTTCTTTACAGTTATTTCACCAGTCTTTATTTTTCTGTAGGCTCTAAGAAAACATAGAGTTCAGAGAAAATGCAGTGAGGTGAGTACCAAATTTTTTAAGCCTACGCACGTAGATAAGTCCTAAGAAATGGTTTGAGCAAACAAAAAAGTTGACATCTTTATAAATCTCATATGCAACCATTGCATGTCATTGCCTCATGCACAACTATCAAAAAAAGCTTCTTATGTAGTGATGCATTGAAAAATGATAGAAGAGAGAGAGAGAGAGAGAGGAAAAAAAGAACATGATACTTCTCTTTCCCACTTCAATTTTGTACTGATATAACTATTAATGATGCAGATCAAATTCCCTACATATTTCAGTGCTAATATAGACATTGAATAAAACTTAATTTCTTCACAAGTACCATTGCATTAACAATTTAACAGTAAGCTATAGGATACTTAACACCAAAAATTGTTCGAGAAGTAATCTTTGAATAGTTAGTGTTCTCTACAAAACTGATCACAAAATGTTGACATAAGGTAACAGATTTCAGATGGCAAGATGACTAAGGATGTGCCCAAGTCAACAAAATCTTACACAAAGAAATAGAAAGCTCATAATAAAGATAATCAGAGAAGACTACTAATTCAAGCACTAATTAGAAGTTTTATATTTTTACCAGAACCGTTCTCGGAACTCGAGACCCTTAAAACCTTCGGTCCATAAAATCTGAAACTTCGGGCTAGCTGATGACATTTAACAGGTGCCCAACAAACCGGTTGCTCTCCATATTTCTGAAAGAAATGCAAAGAATTGTTCGGTTTTCTTGCAAATTTTTCTGGGTTTATACATGGGCCTAATTGCAAGCCCATGGAAAAAACTCCTGCCTCCATATTGTATCACCCTCTTTTCTTCCCAAGAGAATCCCTCTACAACCCCAACAAAAAGTCACAAGTTCAAAGTCAGTAAAAATAACAAAAAAACCAACTGAAAACAAAAAAGGCCAAAGAGCACAAAATTAGTAAAAAGATCGAGACTTTAACAATGATAAAATGGAAAAGAACAGAAACCAAAATAAAAAGAAGGTCAAACATTTATATCTCATTATATTTCAATCAGCCAACGTCCTACAAAATTCCCACCTTACAACACAAATAATTCAGGCCAACAAAACCCAGATGAAAAAATAACATCTGAGATGAAAAAAACAAGAACCCACGTACCAAACAAACAAAACTGGGACAAGTTCGATTAAATTCATCCAAAACGAAGAACACATAGAAATCAACGACATTCAAAAGAATCCAATTAATAGAATAGTAATCTAGGTAACGTGACAAGAAATATTTGACTGGAAGATAAGCACAAAAAGGGACCTTTTCTCTCACCAGATTCCTAATTGGGGGCGGTAGTTGATGATCTGGAGATTGGGGTAGGTGGGCTTTCGAATTCCTCAGCGTTCAAACTTCAAACAGAGCTGACATTACATGGACCCTATTGAGTTTTGGAGCTGGGGTTTGGTAAGGAAAGTGCTGTTACTGTAGCTTGGATAATAACAAGATGAGAATGATGACAAAGCAGGAGATTAGTACTAGTCTTTTTCTGAGGTTGGGATTTTGAGAACGGGTATCGAAAAGCAATTTTTGTTCCACTTCTTTCAGTTCTTGGCTTCTACATCTTTATTAATTATGTTGGAGTTTTGTCCTTTTTAAATCAGGGTTTGTGGGATCGACTTAGCTCGGCATGTTAAAATTTAAAAATGCAATTTTTTATACGATTCATTTATAATTAGGCTTGTTAAGATTTAAATTTCGGTCCCCAATATTGTCCAAACTCAAATTTATTTATCAACTTGTAAGTGTGGTTTGATAAAGGCTAGAGTTCTAGCCATAGTTGTCAAAACCGAACCGGATTGGCCGGTCCGACCGGTTGAACCGGGAACCGGCCAAAAAATCGGTTGGTTCAACCGTTTTTTNATCTTGGTCAAATAATTTTTATGTATAAATTCTAACACTTTTATAAAGCAACTATACCTTTTATGGTTACCGATGTGAGACAAGATGTAAGAATTCTAAATTTTCAATTGTAAAGGTAAAGGACTAAGGCTATGTTTGGTAAAACTAACTGATAAGCTAGCTGATAGCTCATAAGTTAGCTTATAGCTTATCAGTAATTTTTGAGCTTATAGCTTATAGTTTATGACTTATAGGTGAAAAGCTAGCTTATAATAAAAGTGTTTGGTAAAATTAGCTGATAAGCTAACTGAATAAAAAAATTCAACTAGCTTATTTGAAAAACTACCTAAAGAAGCTTTTCAAATAAGCTCGAGCTTTTTAAAAAAGCTCGTCCTACCAAACGAGGCTTATTTGAATATAGGGAGCTTATAAGCTAACCAAATAAGCTATTAGCTAGTTTATTTGTCTACCAAACACAACCTAAAGACAGGCGTGGAAGGAATTTTTTTTCCTATATTCTATCTTTATTTCCTATTATTTTATTGTCCAATGTGGAAGTGTGAGGAAATATTTCTTTTTCTTCCATAATTTTGTACTATCATTTTATTGCTTAATATATATACATTGGGCAAAACTTTTAAAAAATAAGTCAACTATATTTAATATTTATAAAGTATTATATGTTTAAAATATCAATAAATTAAATTACTTAAAAATTAAGTTAACTATATCTATGAAATATTATATATATTTAAAAATATCAATTAATTAAATAACGGTCCAACCAGTTCAACCACTGGTCGGACCAGTGAACCATTGAACCAGTAGCTTGACCGATTCGATGACCGGTCCGGTTTTGACAACCTTGGTTCTAGCTCGAATATCACCTCTATTGTTTTGGTTAATACGAAAAAATTCGGATTTTGTTTACTTGGTCCAAAATAATTTAATAACAACTTATGTATAAGAATTATAATTTATTTATCGAAATAAAGGAAAGTCAATCCATATTATTTCATTAATTTGATAATTTCAGCTATATAAAATACTATTTCATTAATTTAATAATCAAGGAGAGTTGGTCCATATTATTTCATTAATATTTTGGATTTTGTTTACTTGATCCAAAACAAGTTAGTCCATATTATTTCATTAATATTAAGGATATAAACAGCCGGCGTGCTTGCGGTCATGCATAGTGCGTTGCGGTCGTCGGGTATCCACAGGAGGCTTAGTAGCTCGAGATTTTTACTGTTTCACGGCCACATAGTGAAATTGTGCGATTTCTCACTAACATGGCTTGGCATCCCGTCGGGCTCGATGGACTATTTGAGTCCTAAGTTACAGACAGAACATAGTGACGTCTACTGTTTTGGAGTGGTGTCGACAAAGCTATTAATGGGAAGATCTTAATTTGGTCTGGCATTTTGTGAAGTCAGTTAGAGGAAATGACTTGGTTAGGATATTGGACAGTCGTTTGGAGGCATGTGGTGACGTTGAGGTATTGATGCGAGTTGGAAAACTTGTCTAGAAGTGCTTAGCGTGCTCGTCAATATACCGACTATGAAGGAAATTGCTTTTAAGTTGGACTGCTTGAGTAAAGATTTTTTGTTGGGAGGTATGTGTTCAAGTTTTAGTTTGTAGGGGTCCGACTATGCTTGAGGTAGTGAAATGATATAGGAGTTTTGATGGAGTTTGTCTATTGGTATGTACTGTATTTGTGTTTTGAACATTTGAGAGTTAGATTGATGTTTAGTGATGGTTAGATTATGATTATTAATTTTTTTTTTTTCTTATTTATTGTTTATNAAAAGTTTATAAAAAAAAAAAAAGACGATAGATTTAAAATAAAAAATATATTTATTTATAGAAATGGAATTGTTTAGAAATGAGATATTTTCGGATTTTTTTTAAGCAGTATAGTGATGTCTTTTAGCCGAAAATAAACATAAAACTAACACATCAATTTTAAAAAAATTTATTTAATATGCAATTTACGAAAATAAAACATAAAACTAACATATTTTTTTTTTTGTTTTTGTTTTTGTTTTTTCTGGTGCTATTTTAAGTGGGCCAGAAATACAAACCATCGAGTCCGATCCATCACAGAAAAATTAATAGCCCATTAGTAATTTCCAGAATCAGTTAGAACCCAAATTTTATCTTGGCTTCTTTTAGAACAAATTTTTCACCGGACCCATTCCTTCATTTTCATTTCCTCTTTCAGCTCCGGCATACGATAATTGCTAGCTGCGGCGCCTAGAATCCTCTCCTCCGCCGCCTGACGACTTCGTTCGAAGTCCCAACTTTCACGAACAATGGCGACTGTTATGCAGAAAATCAAGGACATCGAAGATGAGGTCATGAGCAAAAATTAAAAAAATTATATATTCGTAAAGTGATTATATCTGGTTGCGCGATTATGATTTTATTTTGGAATTGTTAGTTTTATGCTGCTCGCCGAGTTAATTTTGAGGGTTTGGTGGAAATATGTGTTTTTCTGCGTATTCCAACTGTAGGAGCTGAAACAGGATCGCTTGTTTGTTTTCCCTAGTAGCTTTATTTTGTGTTATCACAATTGCTTGTTTAGAAATGGAGTTATTGGAAGTTTCAGCTGTTCACTTTTTTTGTGCCTTTCTTGGTAGTGACGTGCATACTGTGATGACATGCTTACTGTGATGTCTGCATTAGGAACTTGTTTAGTTTGCTCTCTTGAAGCTATTTTTACATTTTTTTTTAGCCCGTGTATGAGAGTTTAAGTATTTTATCTCCATTTTTATCTTTAACTTGATTAATTGCTAATAGGTGATTTAGTGTTCAAGAAGTTTTATTTCTTTTTCTTGTTACAGATGGCAAGAACCCAGAAAAATAAAGCAACAGCCCATCACCTGGGATTGTTGAAGGTATGTATTGTAATATTTCTGTTAGATGAATATTAGTTGCTTGCAAGATGCATAATTTATTTATTTTCTTATCTGCTCAGCAATACTAGTTTTTTCACCTCTCTCCTTTGCCACTGTCTTTAATTGTGCTACCAATGACCCCTTCTCAAATTTTAGTGAAGGCGGTGATTCGGTTCCTTCCATTTACAGAGAATAGAACTTGATGCTTCAAAATTGTTAGTGAATGGGTTAGAATGGCACCTAATGCTACAACATTCGAGGGAATTAGTATGATTATTTTTCAGCAATCTTATTTATGTATAGAATTCTTCTGTATGTTGTAGAATGTTCAACTAGGAAATAAATCTTTTCAGCTGTAAAACTAGAAAATGGAATTTTGTCACTGTTTTCTCTCGTTCTATAGAGCATGGTTGTGTTGTAAATTGTGTTCGTTGAGTGTGCTCAACCAACATGAGTTTACATAATTAAAAAACTATATGATGGTTGATTAATCATATTTGACGAAATTTGCATTTGGATGTCATGCGTTGGGTAACTGAGAAGAACCTCTGTGAAATGGAACTCATTTTTGAAATTTCCATCTCTTTGAGGACTGAAATTAAGATTTTGCTGAAATGATTAGTTTTCAGCATGCTAATTGGTCTGTGGTCGAATGATCTGTCATAGGCGAAACTTGCAAAACTTCGAAGGGAAATTCTCACACCAGCATCTAAAGGAGGTGGTGGTGCTGGGGAAGGCTTTGATGTTACAAAAAGTGGTGATTCAAGAGTTGGCCTTGTGGGTTTCCCTTCAGTCGGGAAATCAACACTCTTGAACAAATTAACTGGAACTTTTTCAGAGGTTTGTATTCTTGAAGTTTGTGGTTGATCTTCTTGCTTTACCGAGGAACTTGAACGAAGAATCATTTGTGGATATATTGTGGGACAAAATATGCAATTTAGTATCATTCGCAGCAATTAATTTACAGCTCTTGGAGCATGATATAGGCGCTGTTAATGTGTCTCTTCATTGTTTCTGTCTTTCCTTCGAATTTTCAATATGTTTACTAGAACTGCAATAATAGTATAGCAACAATTGTGTATCTCAGTGTCAGAATGATCTACTTTCCCAAATGAGGCAATTGAACTAGATAAAGAAAATAGGGGGAAAGAATATTATCTTTGTACTGCAAACATAACTGCTGTAGCAATAATGGCTAGACAAATACATAAACTACAGAACTAGTTAGGAATGCCTGAAATGCGTGAATAATTATTTTTCTAGCTACATGGATGAGAAGTTTTATGTTAGGGTTCTACATGAAGAATTGAAAGAACAAAAGTAGGAAAAGATGGCTGAAAATGTTTCTGGAGGAAGCGTAGATTCTTATAGTCTATTATACTAAGTTTAATATTAGTCATCTGATGTCCTACTGCCAGATTATCTGTGGCATTCTAGAGCATTATTCTGCAAAACACATCTTATTGTGCTATACAGGATGTCTTGATTTTATATGTTTTAAGAAAAATTTCTGTTACTCACAACTTTTATCATCATTAACAATTACCAACCCCTTTGTTACATCTTGGTTGTTTTGGTTAAAAAAAGATACATAGCAAGGAAATTACCATGCTAGTGCAATTACTAGCTGGGTAGATATTATGGCCTCTCCTTTTCACTTCAGCCAAATAGAAGGACCATAGAATTGACCATCTTTCTTTCGGCATCAGCCTAGTTCAAGTTCATATGCTGCAAATGAAATTCACATACCAATTATTCTCTTGAACTGCAGGTAGCGTCATACGAATTCACTACTTTAACTTGCATTCCTGGTGTGATCACATATCGGGGTGCTAAAATTCAGGTATGGTCATCTCCCTTGAATGTATGAAGCTTTATTTTTAGGTTCACTTAACTGAGACTTCGAGTTTTTAAAGATGCAGCTTCCACATACCATCGAGCAATAATTTCTTTGTCCAATTGGCAGTTGTAATTAGTTGGGCCAAAAGATCAGATTGAGTTATAAATGGTCATCTCACTATCGGTACCACATCAATGATTTGGGTCAAAGGCAGTTTATTCAGGTGTTTATAAAAAGAAAAAGGAAAGAAGGAAAAAGGAAAAACCGAAAAAGCCCTCATTAGTCTTTTTATTCCTCCTTTATTTGGTGGCATCACTTAATATTCTTGGCTGGGCAACTAATTTTGTCTCAAATGGGTGACTGATATATCTATTTTATATTTTCTTACTTATCACTTCCATTTTATTTTATTAATGACCCATTATGGCAATCAAGACATATGATCAATGAAATGTCAAGCAAGAGAGTTAGAACAAAGGGAGTTCCTTCATGACATTATTTTTCTTCTTAAAAGTTGTTGATGCTTTTGGGTTTTAAGGAAGAGTGCACATAAATGTTGTTGCAGTACAGTTTTTAGATTGTTTGTTTTTGCTTTGTCAGTTGCTGGATCTTCCTGGTATTATTGAGGGTGCCAAAGATGGCAAGGGTAGAGGAAGACAGGTAATGTACAACTTCACCTGTCTATTACTGTCTCTCTCTTATTTATTTTACGTGATTGCGTAATATGGAGCTTAGTTCAACTGCTTATTCCCAAATCATGAAAACAGCTCTTTATTGTCACTGTGACAATGCAGCTTATATTCGCCATGTTTCCGGAGTCGTAAGAACAACACTTGGTTTCAAAATTAGAAAAACATTAAATGGTTAATCGGCCGTAGAGATTTCAAACTCTTGAAGAAAAAGAAAAAAAAAATGCTCTCGCGCAAGCTTACAATGACGAATTCATTGGAAAACCTCCCCTGCTAACATAGTTTCCATATTGGCATAGTCAAAGGAGGAAAATTTTCAGGCACTTTCTTACATAAGGTCCTCTGTGGGTTCGTTTATGACACTGTGATGTCGACAGCTATTCTCCAATAGGTAAAGCAATACCATTATTACCAGGTGGAACAGGTACAAAAGAAAAATATCATAAAGAAACCATCATAAGTTAAGTTTTACCATCACCACCTGGAGAAACTAAAGATCAGTCTTTGACTTGCATAAGAAGCACTTTGCACACCAGGGAACACTTGTGTCTGAAATTCCTGCACGAAAACACCCAAAAGAAATAAATCTTATTTTCAAAATCGATAAATATGAAATATAATATCTTTGAACGTGTCCTCTATTGTGGTTGTCAGAATAGAATAAGGGAACTGTGAGGTAAATAATATTGGCTGAAGTGGAATCTAGCTCCCTCATGATGACTGTTTACCTATTTCACTATGTGAAGTTATTCCATGCCAAGAAATCATATAGCCAACAACTCTTTTTAATATGTGTCGTTTGTTTTTAGCTATAATATATCACCTGCAGAGTAAGATGGTGTTGTCCTAGGCAAGGCTTTGATGTTTATCCTTTCAATTAACACTTAACTTTGTCTTCTGGGTTAGGTTATAAGTACAGCTCGAACATGCAACTGCATCTTGATTGTTCTGGATGCCATAAAGCCAATTACCCATAAACGTCTAATAGAGAAAGAGCTAGAGGGGTTTGGTATAAGGTAATGTACGTAATATTTTTATTTTTGTTGAATTATTGTTTTCACTGCTTGGTTGTGAGTACCTTACATGATGCTTCTACTAGTGTCATGGGGTAGTATCTTCTAAAAGTTTTGTCATTAGTTGTTGTCTTGAGATTCATACATTCTCCTGAAACCTGAAATCATCCAGAACATGGTTGGGGAGATTTCTAATGGATACTCTTTTACTTTGGTGGCAATAGTGCGTATATTGTACCACATTACCACATGGATAAATATGATTTTAATGTTTTAATAGTTACTGATAGTAAACGATTGTTTTATCCGTTTCTCTCTCATGCATATATGCTTGGTGTGAGTGGTTATTCCCCACATACTCCCTCATCTGGTAAACTATGTAACATATCTTGTTTTCTGGTGACAGGCTAAACAAGGAACCACCAAATCTAACATTCAGGAGGAAAGACAAAGGAGGACTCAATCTTACATCTACAGTGACAAATACGCATCTTGACCTCGAGACAGTGAAGGCAATTTGCGGCGAGTATCGTATTCACAATGCAGATATCAGTCTTAGATATGACGCAACAGCTGATGACCTCATAGATGTCATCGAGGGCAGTAGGGTATATATTCCTTGCATATATGTTGTCAATAAGATTGATCAAATCACACTTGAGGAACTCGAGATTCTGGACAAACTTCCTCATTATTGCCCAATCAGGTAACCGTCCATCCAATTTGCTCATGGTTGACATGTAGTTGTATTTTGATTGAGATGAAAGGATGGAAGGCTATCAATTTAGAACATCTTATACTGAATTTTGGGATATTAACTGTGCTTAATCTCAAGAATTTTGACTAATTTATTATCGTCATTCCTATTCATGAATTGTTCATTAAAACCAACATTCTCTATATAAATAAACTAAAATAAATCTAATGCTAAAATTTTCTTACCCCTTTTATTTCTTATTACCATTTCATATTAGTTGTTGTGCATAGTATAAGAGAGAGCAGTCAATAGGTTAAGGATGAAGAGATTCATTTTATAATAGCATAAGCTATTGGACAAGTTTGTTGCTGCCACTGCTGTAGAAGTTTCATTCTTTTTGGAAAAGTTCTATTCTTCTTGTTTGTCCCTAATATATTATCATCAATAAAATTACATATTTCTCTTTTGCTTGATCCTTTACTCCCAACAATTGATCCGACCTTCTAGATAGAGATTGCGTGAAATAAGCCATAAATCATGGTAAGTATATTGAAGAAGATATAATAATTAAGCATCCAAGGGGAAAAGAATAAATCTACAGATTTTGGAGTGATTGTTACCTTGCTTCTATTATTGATATTACCTTTTATATTATGCCAGTTAAATATAAATATATGTTCGGTTTTTATTAAAATAATTATTATTATTACCTTTTATATTATGCCAGTTAAATATAAATATATGTTCGATTTTTATTAAAATAATTATTATTATTACCTTTTATATTATGCCAGTTAAATATAAATATATGTTCTCTAGGAGAGAAGTGTAAGCAATAAGAATCATATTGCAATAGCTTTAGCTATTGGGTAGTTCTTGCTGGGTTGTTAGGAAGCTTCAAGCTTTTGGTTACCATTTGTATCAAATAAACTTTCATAATATATTATGTCGGTTAAATAAAAATATAGGTTCTCTAGGACGGTGTAGGCAATAACAATCATATTGTAATAGCTTTGTGATTTATCTATTGGGCAAGAGTAGTTCTTGCTGGGCAGAAGTTTTGCTTGGAAGCTTCAAGCTTCTGGTTACCATTTGTATTAAATAAACTTTCACATTTCATTTTCTTGAATATTTATCACTTTTCAAATCATGTTTTCTTTCTTTATTCTTTTGGGCGAATTCCAGTTTAACAAAAAACCACAATAAATAAAAGTACCACAGTAAACTTACATTGATTCATTTAAATTGACTGGCATTGATAAATATTAGTTATTGGTGATTCCTTTCTGCGTTAGCAGATGAAACATTTCATCTTTTCATTGATTTTTGTATAGGCTCTATCTGTAACCTTCCCAATATATTTTTCAATTGATTTAATTTTTTCCTGAAATCAGTTTTGTACTCTCCGTCATAAATTCTTGGATTTATGCTTATTTCCTCCTTTATTGTTGGGATGAACTTTGCGCATGCAAAGGCTCTCAATGAGTTGTTTATGTCTTTTTAATCATCTACTCGCTATTTTTTATGTACAAATGTATTGCTCCAGTGCTCACTTGGAATGGAACCTTGATGGCCTTCTGGAAAAAGTTTGGGAGTATCTCGATTTAACTCGCATATACACAAAGCCTAAGGGGATGAATCCAGACTATGAAGATCCTGTTATATTGTCATCCAAGAAAAGAACAGTTGAGGACTTCTGCAATAGAATCCACAAGGACATGCTTAAACAGTTCAAATAGTTAAGTTCCATTACTTCCTGCACACTGAAGCTCTTCTTTATCGATCACAACCTTTTCTTTTTTCTTTTTTCTTTTTTCTTTCTAATATATGTGTATTAAAGCTTTTTTTAAGATCCTACAAACCCAAATCTTATTTTTACAATTAATTGCTACTTTGAACTGGTTTGCCTTCACAATTTTAAGAGCTTTCATAAGCAAAGGCAAATTTCTCTATGTAAAATAACTTATGGGTGTTTTTGTATAAACTGTAGTGCACTGGTTTGGGGCTCTAGCGTGAAACACAAACCCCAGAGGGTCGGAAGGGTAAAATTCTTTAAACTTCACATTTCATTTCTACTTTATTTAATTTGTTGTTGGTATTATTCCTCTTCCTTACTATAATGTGTCTCGAATAATGGATGATTGATTAATATGTTTTTTTCTGTTGACGACCAGGAGCACGAACTGGAAGATGAAGATGTTGTCCAAATCATCAAAAAGGTGTGATTACATAACTTTCGATCTACAAAATCCCCTGCTTTTGATGCATGTGGTTCGAGTTTTTACCTGCAGTGAATCTCAGAAGATTTATCTGAAGTGTAATTTTTGTTTGCCGAGTTACGTGCATGACTGCTGGAAATGTGTACAATGGATGTCGCTAGAATGCGTGTTTTAGGTGTTTTGGAGTGTTCGAGTTATTTCCCTACTTTCTCAATCGGTAATTATGGGTCTTTCACCTTTTTACCACGTTGAGTTTAAACATTGGTGGATTAAAATTATCGTATGGTAATTCGTAAGTAGAGGTACGGTTGGTAATAACTTGAGAAATTTGGTTCTATATGAAGGCAAACTTAAGCGCACGCTACAACTATTTCCTTGCGAAATGATTTAGTTGTTGACTTCATGGTTTGATAATTTTTACGAGAGATTTTGTTTGTTATGTGTTGTGTCCTAAGTACAAATTGTGTACCTATGTACACTATGTTTGATATGGAAGAACATGTGTCAATGCATTAATTCATATATGACTGCCATAAGAATTTGTTAGCTTGGGAATATTATGCAAGAAATAACAGTGTCTCAACTTGTCACCAAGAAGCCAAACATTACAAGTGAAAGGAAGAAACTCAATGAAAAAATCTAGTTACAACTTACAAGCAAAAAACTATGGTAAAAAAAGAGAGAATTACAACAGCAACATCAGCCATAAACATGAATACCACATCAAATATTTGAAAATCGAACCGACAAACTTCGATCTACAAGCACAAAGTGCTGCAAAATTTGTTCGATTAAAACGTTCATGCTTTTGCACAGCAGTTAAAATAGCTGAAGATGCCTCGCCTCACCTGTTAAGCAGAATAAAACAGCAAATAAACCTTATTATATACAACTATTATTATTTAATAAAACACTGCTGCATATAATTATGTCAAGATCATGCTACATTATTTTATGGTTTTATATATAAACAAATTAATGTCATATTTTCCCAAAATGTTCCCGAAATTTAGTAAATGCTGGATTAATAGCATCAGAATAGTTACAAAAAGTTATCTCAGCTTTAGCCTAATGGTATTACAAACAACACTTTACAGTTTTATATATCTAGAATGTACCTCCTCAAATGAAAATGTATTATGAAACATAAAAAAATTACAAATGGAGCCATGAAATACCAACGGATTATCTTTTTCTCTTTTTCATTTCTCCTTTAAATAATGAGACTATGAGAAATTACAATAAATCCTAAGGGTACTTGGCAACAACCAGATCTCGCCATCCTCATTGTCCCGACCGAATGTTTCCATATATAGGCTATGTTTAGTAAAATTAAAGCTAGCTTATAACTTATAAGTGATTTTTGAACTTATAGTTTATAGTTTATGACTTATAGCTGAAAAGTTAGCTTATATGATAAAAGTGTTTGGTAAAATTAATTGATAAGCTAGCTGAATTATTTATCTAAAAAGCTACCCAAATAAACTTTATGAGATAACTTTATGAGATAAGCTCGAGTTTTTTTAAAAAATTTCCTCCTACCAAACGAAGTTGATTTGACTACATGAAGCTTATAAGCTAACCAAATAAGCTAGAAGCTAGTTTATTTGGTTACCAAACATAACCATAATCTTCATTCTCCCCACATTCAATTAAGAGCTTTACAAATCAAGATGTTCGATGGCCCGCGTTTCTTTAATTGTAATAACAACTAACAAGTACTGATATCCACTCTGCACATGAATGTTCGAAATGGGAACAAAATAAAATAAATGATGTTGAAGAAAAACAAGAAAAATACCGCGCGCGAACCATTTTGGTGATCTACATGAAGGTCATTATGAACCATGCTCGAGCTTTTTGTGTTCGATGTGATGAGCTCCTCCTCATTGCCAAGACTTGCCCTAGATGGGTCCCTCTTGTTCTGTTTTCTCATTTCTCGGATTTTCGAAAAATCCATGGAGTAATCGGGCAGCTCTCCCTTTTGGTCCCAGTCGCCAAATTGTGGCACGGAAAGCCACGGTGCATTTCTCTAAACAAAGCAAAATAAAAAGCAAAGAACCCATTGACACACAATAATCATTTGGCAAATGCCAATTGCATATCATTATCAAGTTTGTTATCTGTCAATTAGACTTCTTGCATGTCACGAGCATAGGCTTGCAAAAATTGACTGCTGATATGATTCATTTTTTTTTTTTTAATAAAAAGAAATAGAACTTCTATCCAAAATAGCTCATCTCCATAAAAAAAAATGCAAATTTACTCGCATAATCATTGAAAGAATCAAGAAATTACACCTTACGGAGCAGCCCATCAAAAACCCAACGCAGATAAGATAAAGCTTCTATCTTTTTTAATTCCTTTTCTCTTTTTAGCCCCTTTTATGAAAACAAATCCTAGGACAACTGTAATTTGAGTTGCTACAGCAAGGGTTTCAATTAACCATTCTCCAACAAGGGAAAATGACACAAATCCACATCACATGCACACAGCAAATAAGCTCAAGATTGAGGACCAAATATTTCTTTTAAATAAAAATTAAAAAGAAAAAGGAAAATACACCCTTTACCTCCTTGTGATCCTCCATTACACTAACTGCAAAAAGCTCAAATTTTGCTGAAAATTTTAGCAAGCCCTTTTGTCTTCCTGTTCTTGATGAACGTTAGCCCAAAAAAACACACTTCTTATTTTTATTTTTATTTTTTTGCCCTTCGAAAAGCAAGATGCGTGAGAGTAGGGAGATGAAAGCGTCGAAGAGGGTTTGAAAGAAAAAAGTAAACAATAAAGATTCAAACTTTGAAATGGTACACACAGAAAACTTTTTTGGGTGGAATTTGTTGATTGTTGAAGGGTGAGTGAGATCAACTTTTGAGAGCATACAGCAAATACGATTTATGAAATAAGGGCTGAGGTTCGGTGTATACTACAAAATAATTTCACACATAGTTTGCCATTTTATTTTATATTATTTTTATTTTTCCTATTTGGTGAGGGAAATACAGAATTTAATATTGTTTTTTCTATGCTTAACTATTAACTGATATCATATTGTAATATTATAATAATTGATTTGACGAGCGAGTTGTATTAGTAATTTGTAAATAACCTTTTGATAAATAATAGATTGTATAGTTATTTTAAAAATTTTATGTTGACATTCTATTCCTCGAATTCTCTCTTCTCAAATGCAGTTTCTTCATAATTAGCATTTTATTGTACATTTTTTATATTACACTTATAACAATCATTATAATTTACCGGACGAGTCATTTTTATTACCACTTATAACAATATAAATTATTTTTTATTTTTCATTTTTTATACTACACGTATGGATAGTTAAGGACAAAAATTTAGTTAACAAAATTTAATTACGCGTATAGGTGGTTATAGACAAAACTTTTCATTAACAATACATTATATATTAAATCCATAAATGATAGTAACACACAACTTAAAAAATATCACTTACAACAAAATTGTAAAGGGGTACTCTTTAAAATTTAGTTTCATACACATCACTACCCACAATTACATGTAGAAGTTTTAGCTAAAATCCTTATACAAGACATCTCCTGTTTTAAAAATTATACTATTGTCTCCTGTTTTATAAAAAAAAAAAAAAATTATTTTATATTTTAGTAAAAGTTTAATGAATTAACTTTCTATACAATTGTTAATAAATGAAATATTAAAATTTGCCAAATGGGCCAAAATTGCATGGAGGTGAAACTTACGGCCTCAAATATCGAAGAAATTAACACCTTTATGCAATTATATTGTGTAATGTACTAAATATGAACTTGAACTTATATAGAGTTATATTAAAATGTACTAAACATAACAAATTAACAAGTTCGGCACATATGCTGCTTGCTTTCAAAGTCCTCCAAGTCTTCAAGTCCAAGTCTCCTTTGTTTTGAATGTCTCTCTTTTTATATCCCCTCAAAAAGGCAAAAACTAATTGGTTGTTTGACCTTAATATTCCCAGGACATCATTAAAATATCTGGGCCAAATTATTTATTTTTTTCCATGGGCCAATATTGTATGCATGGGCTTTGTTGGGATAGTATAGGGCATCCCCATAGTGCCAGATGAAAGTTTGTCGAGCCCGCGTCTATGCGTTCACACGTCATCATGACCGAGAAAATTCTCAAATACGCTGAAATACTGAATTTCGCATCAAAGCACAAGAGTCGCTCATAATAAGTCGAAAAATGCACAAGTACAAGAAACTAAACGTTCAAAATTGCAATATTAGACAACTAATGCACATACATTTTTCGACTATCACCCAACACTTAAATGATGATTGTTCTCAAGCATCAATCCAAACTTGTCATCTCATCTTGTAATCCCTCTCTTTTTTCCCTCTGACAATTCGAAACGGTTTTCATACACAAATAAAACACAAGATGGGTGGAATCCTCATATACTGACATAAATGACATATACCCTCAACAATCAAACACTATAGAATGTATACGAGATTCAACATTTCACATCTCAAACTCTCCAAAGAGTATCCAAAGTGTAAAGGCTAAATATATAAGTCAACGCTCAGACATAGAAAATCTTTACCATCTTTATCATATGCTTGCAATTGCACCACGCCCAACAGCTCCAGAAATGAGCATGAATCCACAAAAATCAAAGGGTTTTTCAATGGGATAAGCAAAACAACAATCTTAGGCTAATTCAATCAAACCAAAGCAATCAAATGAACCTTCCCGAAAAGAGCTCAAAGCATAAACACCTTGATGTCCAACTAAGAATGCATATCCAAACATAACTTGAACAATATTTATAGTAGATATTTATAACTACAAACAAGTTTTAATTAGAACCAATATTTACATACAACACTCGATAAATGAACTTCATTCATTCATTTATTCCTCGTTAACACTTCAAAGCTCACATCCTTTTATTCCACATACAAAACCCAACCAACACTCGCACAAATCCAAAGTACATTATTGATACATACATTCAACTTTAACCACGCCAATGCTCACAGCACCTCTTTATCCGGCCACCTGATTTAATCAATTATCACTAGACATCTTGATCATGCCGGCACCCTCATTATCCCGAACAATTAATCATCATTTAGTCAAATACTTTTCACAGTTCATGTAGGTAAAAAAATCAGTTCTGCTCAGGCTTACACTATACTATAACAGATATTTCACAAACGTCACATATCAACATCATAAATAACCCAAGAAATCTCCCAAAATTAGTTGATATATACAAGGATAGTTTAGATAAAATTATTTTTTATATGGTCAAGTAGTAATGAAAAACTCCTGACGTATGGTCTCATGTTATTTTCTGAGACATGTAGAATGTAATAAATTTGGCGACCATGTATGAAAACATAACCCGTATCAATGACTAACTTCGAGGGTGAGGAAGGAAGCACGCCAAAAACACACTTAATACTCAAACAATATATTTCATTTGTTTCCCTTCGTCCAACAAAGATAACTTTGTTTCTTTAATTAGAATATTCAAAATATCAATATCTTTGTACATAATATTGATACGACTAAAAGCAGCCTATATAACAAATGAAACGGAGCTGATGATGGTTGCTAACTTATTCCTATGGCTTTTATACTTAATCATATCTCTATGTAAAATAAACAAACTAAAGGAAGTTTGGCTAACTAAACAAACTATAGGTCAACTAATGGTGCTTACCAAGCACAATCATACTAAAAATATTTGATAAATTAGCTTAAAAGCCAGCTAAAAACAAAATCCCCAATGAGCTCTTTTTGAACAGTACCACATGAAGCACCTGAGATAAAACTGAGTTTTTCAAAAAAAATCTTATCCTGCCAAAAGAGGCTAGTTTGAAAACAAAAATCTTATAAGCTAATTAAATAAGTTTATTATGCTTATCATAGACACTCTTAACTAAAACCGTGTTTCCAAACTATGGCATCAGTAGTCCAAATTCCAATGAACATGAAAAAACAAACATTAGCAAAGTCTTACACACAAAATACATGAGACTCAAGCAGAAAAGTAAATGGAAAGTCAAGTTTCTATTTAACACCAGTTACCTCTCCACCCCACAAAGAAACATCCCTGAGAAAAATATCCACGCCGTTAACCTGCTTAAGTGAGTTGTGTTTCTCTTTTGCAACCGAGTGCTCTCTTCCACAGGTAAAAGTCCTCGCCAATTTCACTCATATATGGTTCCACATATACCTCACAAAACTTCTCATCTGTCAATCGGCAAACATATCCGAGAGAAAGCCACTCCTCGATCAGGCCCTTACTCTCCAGCTTCCCCAGAACCTCAAACCTCGGCTTCAGCCGCCTCTCGATGCTGCACATGAGTGCCCTCGGATATGCAGCAATCGATGATGTATCATATTTCCCAGTCCCGAGCACTATCTGTTTCACCTTTCTCATCTTATCTTCCGAAACGCGGAAAATCGTGGGGGTCTGCCTCAAAATCCTAATCATTTCGTCGTTCGAGAATTCAAAAATTTCCTGAAAAGCCAGCAGCTTGCGTTCCCAACTCCCGTTGGGCATCGAGCAAATGACCCCGACAGCATAAACGGACATTTTTGAACTCCAGGAAATGCCCATTTTGTCTTTGGTGTCCAAGCATCTCCTAAGAGTTTCTCGATTGCACAGTATGACCCGCGGGTAAACATAGATGAGCCTGGCGACCTCGTCTTCTGTCATCCCATGGCTCATCAAGATCCGGAAGTTGGGCAAAACGTGTTTTTCAAGATCGGTCGTCAGCAGCCGACCATTATCTCTCAGAACCCTGGCCACTTTCTCATTCGAACCCAACATGCCCTTTAACCAGGCCAATGCGGGGATGATTCTTTTATACAGGCTGGTGTGCAGAATCAGTGGCTGTTTTGACACTATGGCGGTAATTTCTTCCGAGGAGAAGCCTAGGTCCTCGAATATCTCGATCTTGGGCTTGATGGTACCCTTAAGATCGGCGGCGAGTATTTGGGGCCGGACATTCAAGATTTTCTCCAGCTGGGCTTTCGTGAAGCTCATCTGCACGAAGAAAGTGAGTACCGAACCGTATTTTTTCTGGCAGCCGAAAGGATCTAAAACGGAGGCGACGCGTGAAGCCACAGCATGAGACAAACGGTGCTTGTGCGCCAACAAATAGTAAACCGGAGAAGTAGAGCGTTTGGTCTCACAGGCGGTGGAGAAAGCGAAGACGGCGAGGGAATATCGAGTTTTGAAAATCGCCGGAGAGAACAAATTCTTCGGTAACAAACGGGTGAGATTTATGCCCACAAGTGTGTGCAGCGCCATCTCAAATTAATTGAACGGAATCAATCGATTGAAAAGGGAAATTACTCGCCTGAGCAAATGATGCGTCCTTCCCAAAAGCAAGAAGTTAATCGCAGTCTTCAGACTCGAGAATCAACGATGGGGTGTATTCACGTCTGAAATGTTTACTTTTCACGTCAGAAGTCTCAATTGAACAGCAGCACAACAAGTCGAATACAAATCATTAAAGCATGCCATTCAAATAGAAGCTCAAATAAACAACATGAAAAAGGCATATAAAGCATTCAAAGGTCTTGGCAAAATAATCTAATAAAAGAGGTCAAAGCTCGGATGATATAAAATCAAAATAATATGCCTCTTTACTCAACACTTCTCAACATTGAACATGCATCTAAACTGGACATTTAACCTCCTAACTGCACACTAAACCTCAGCATGATTTCACCACGTTTAAGCACAAGAAACAAGCATTCTAAGGCTCAGCCGCATGAGGCAAAACCGGGCACAAAACAAGGCGTCAACATGCATTTTTTCATGCTCAAACTTTATAAAAATCTAGTCATGCTTTGAACTCCTAAATGAAACTGAAAGTAAGCATAACATAACACATATTCTCGGCCATTGGCAAGGGTAAATGTTCAGCCGAATGATACCTCTCTCGGGCTTAAAAAAAGAAAAGAGAAGACTGGCTCGTCTGAAAAACGGTCGCTCAACCGAGGAGAAGAATCACTCTCGGTTCTGCTGAACGAGTATGCTCTCGTCGCCGGTTTCTGTTTTTGTCAAGTGGTTCTGCTTCGGCCAGAAGTCTGCTGCTCGGGCTGGTGTCAGCCACCCGCCGCGGGTGACCAGCTCTCCCTCAGCCGCAGTTGGAAATTATCGGTCGGCGCTGGTGCTCAGTACTCACCGGAAGCTGCTTGACCCGTTGGGAGTGGCTCTCAGTCCGTTCCAGCCGTGGTGAGCCGCTTCAGGTCTGTTCGGTAGCGCTCGGTCGCCGGAAGTCGGTGTTTCAGTCGCGACTAAAGGGGCCTGCTTTCGACGTTCGGGTCCGGGTCTACTGCTCTCGCCGGGAATCTCATCGTCACGACTGGAGGTCAGAGCTCGGGATCGCGGCTCGAGGTTAAGGCTCGTTGTCGGACTGGAGGTCGAAGGTCGAAGTCGCGGCTCGACGTCGGAGGTCAAGGGTCGCTGTTCGTCTTCTCGCCGGAAATTGGGGCTCAAGGTCGCGGCTTGCTGCTCGTGGTCGGACGACGTGATTGCCGTGAAATTGAAGCTGCGGCTGAGCTTTTGGAGATGCTTAAATGGGGAATCTATAGGGCTTGCTCGTGGGAGAAGCGTGTGGTATGAGGAAGCCGAGAATGGGGGAAAATCGTTAGGGCTTCATGGAGCTGGTGGCTGCTGAAATTTGAGGGAGCTTGGAGATGATGAGAGTAGGGGTGTTGGACTGCGTTTTTGGAGCTTGAAGTGGGCTTCTTGGGCCGCGGATTTGGGCCAACAAAATGGTAAATTTGGGCCGTATCTCTTGGGAGAAATTAAGTACAATAAAACACTTAGGCTAAGTTTGATAAGCCAAATAAGCTAGCTGATAGCTAATTTTGTTAAGTATAAACTCCATGTATTCAAATAAGCTTCGTTTGGTAGGACAAGATTTTTTAAAAAGTTCGAGTTTATCTCATAAGCTACTTTAAGTAGCTTTTCAAATAAGCTAGTTGAATTTTTTATTTCAGCTAGCTTATCAGCTAATTTTACTAAACACTTTTATCATATAAGCTAGCTTTTCAGCTATATAAGCTATAAGCTTAAAAATTACAAATAAGCTATAAGCTAGCTTATCAGCTATCAGTTAGCTTATCAGTTAATTTTACCAAACATAGCCTTAGGAGAAATTAAATTAACACTTAGGCAATTAATTCATAAATTAGGAAGATCACTTAGGCACATAAACAAATAATCACTTGCACATAATACAACAAAATTGAATTGATCACAAATTGAATTGATCACAAAGCATACTTAGCATTTAGTACAAATAAAACAAGAGCATAACAAGAGAAATAAGAATTGAGTTTTTAAACTAACTCGAGCTAATTCGAGCGATGCAAATGCTATGATTTTACTACCTCCTATTCTTTTTAAACGTCATTTTATTTTTATTTATCCAAAAATAATTTATAGTTTTAAAATTCTCATTTATCAATTAAAAGGACAATTATACCCCTATAAAATACTCTCAAGTCTGAACTTTTTTTTATTCGCTGCTGCTTCATCTTCTTCCTTCAGCTGGGAGACAGCACAGACAGACTCCACACTGCGCAGAGGTCTCTCTCTACAAAAATGGGCCTCGCCTCAAAAGGAGAGGGAAATTTGATTGCTTCGGGTAAAGGAAACAGAAATGGGCCTCGCCTCAAAACTCCAATTTATGGACCTCCGGTCTAGCTTCCTCTCCGGCGGCGCAGCCCCTCTCGCTTTCTCCTTCCCTTCCGCCGCCCGCCGCCCACTCTACCTCCCCTTTTCCTTCCCGTCCTCGCTAAAAGCCCCAGCCGCCCACTCCCGAGCCCTAATCTCCTCAAAATTACAATCCGTTTCCACCGATGCCTCCACCTCCGTCGCCACAGTCGTGGAAGACGAGGACATCGACTCTCTTTTCCGATAACAGCTCCGAGCAGTCGGAGATCAGCTACAAGCGCGGCCACAACAAGGGCTCGAGCGGCGCCTCCACCATCTCATCGGGCGTAAGGTTGGAAAACGTGAGCAAGAGCTACAAGGGCGTCACCGTGCTGAAGAACATCAATTGGGAAGTTAAGAAACGCGAGAAGGTCGGTTTGGTGGGCGTTAACGGCGCAGGGAAGACGACTCAGTTGAGGATTATATCGGGCTTGGAAGAACCAGATTCTGGAAAAGTGATTAAGGCGAAGAGCAGCATGAAAATTTCGTTCCTGAGCCAGGAATTCGAGGTGGTGTCCACGAGGACGGTGGGGGAGGAGTTCTTGAGCGCGTTCAAGGAGGAAATGGAAATTGCGGCTAGGCTCGAGAAGGTGCAGAAAGCGATCGAGAAGTCTGTGGATGATTTGGAGCTCATGGGAAGGCTCTTGGATGAGTTTGATCTGCTGCAAAGGAGGGCGCAAGCTGTGGATTTAGATGAGGTTGATGTGATTTTAATAAATTGATGCCTGAGCTGGGTTTTGCACCTGAGGATGGAGATAGGCTTGTTGCATCCTTTAGTGGAGGGTGGCAGATGAGGATGTCACTTGGGAAGATCTTGCTGCAGGTGTAAATGATTTCTTATAGGAATTTTGATGAAATAAAACAATTGGAGAAATCATAAGTGATATATGATTGGTTAGAGAAAGATTAAAATGGGTGGGAATTTTATTCTTTTCATTGAAAATTTTCACAAGCAATTGTGATTTGGGGTAAAATATCTTCTCTGGCAAATTCAAAATGAGAACTTTCGGCATCCAATTACATATTTTAGTGTTTGATGATGGAGTTTCTATGAAAAAATGGAGAATTTTGGCATCCAATTGCAATTATGATATGCTTTTGATTTCATATTATTGCTCATGGAAGTTTTTACATGATTATCAGTGAATGAATTTGAAGGATCCAGATTTGTTGCTTTTAGATGAGCTGACATATCACCTCGACCTCGACACAATTGAGTGGCTCGAGGGTTCTTTGAATATGCAAGATGTGCCGATGGTCATCATATCACACGACAGGGCTTTCTTGAATCAGTTGTGTACGAAAATTGTAGAAACAGATTTGGGTGTTTCTAGAACATATGAAGAAAATTACTCAGAATACGTCATTGCTAAAGCAGCATGGGTTGAAGCCCAGTTTGCAGCATGGGAGAAACAACAAAAGGAGATAGAACAGACTAGAGGTCTTATAAGCCGGTTAGGTGCTGGAGCAAATTCTGGCCGTGCTTCTACTGCTGAGAAGGTCAGTTCAGTATTGATGTTTTTCGTAGGTGATTTGGAGTTTGTACTACAATTTGATCAGGAGGACCATCTTGATATGTACCAAACATTTCTCTGATAATTCCAGTGAATTTTGCTTTCTCTGTGCAATGTTGTTTTGTTTTTTTGAAAACTGGACATTGTGTTTCCTTAGAGTAGTGAACTGCATTTTTCTTGGTTACCTTTTCCTGCATTCCTAACTTTTTCTGTTGGTTGGATGATGTATGGTATATTTCTATTCTTAGCTGCAAATTGATCTAATATTTTATTCTACTATCTTGTTTTAAGATTAATTCTCGTTGAATTTTAGCCTCTGAAAAGAAAAGCAATTTGGGCACACCTCAACACTTTTAGTGACTTGGACAAAATGAAACAAAGTGAATTTGGCAAATCTTTCTTATTCCCGATAATTTAATCCCATTTCCGTTCTTCAGATCGGAAGTTCATTTATTTAATTTATCTATTGGTCACCTCAGAAGCTGGAGAAACTTCAGGATGAGGAGCAAGTTGAGAAACCCTTCATTCATAAGCAAATGAAGATTAGATTTCCAGAACGCAGTAGAAGTGGGCGAACTGTGGTGTCTGTGAAAAATCTAGATTTTGGTTATGAGGATAAGGTAAATCTTCCCATTCAATGAAAGGAAGTTGTAGATGACCTATCAACAACTTACTACTGCAATGACAGCAAATACTTTAAAAGTTAACACTGATGAGATATCAAATGTATCTCTGCTTACTGATCTTCCAAAAAGCATTATTGAACTGCGTGAAGAAAGTTAATCATAGATGTTCAAAATTTCCAGTAATCTCACGGTTTACAATTTCACGTGTTTGTTTTTTTTGTTATAAAAAAAAATAAAAAATTCACATCAGGTTCTGTTCAAGAATGCAAATTTGACGATTGAAAGGGGAGAAAAAATTGCCATTCTTGGTCCAAATGGATGTGGTAAAAGTACATTTCTTAAACTGATTATGGGCATGGAAACTCCAGACAGTGGTGAGATTCTGCTTGGAGAGCACAATGTACTGCCAAACTACTTTGAGCAGAATCAGGTTTGTTATATTTTGTTGTTGACATCTTATTCATAGAACCTGCCTTTGCGTGGCTTGAATGTGCATTTTTTCATTTATTTTAACTTTTACTTATGCATTAATAGAAAACTGGTGTATTTTATTTTGTCAGGCAGAAGCACTTGATTTGGATAAAACTGTGCTTGAAACTGTTGCTGAAGTTGCCGAGGATTGGAGACTTGACGACATAAAGGGTCTTTTGGGCCGTTGCAACTTTAAGGTTAATTTGCTCGACAGGAAGGTTTCATTTCTAAGTGGTGGTGAGAGATATAGATGCTGATGAATCTTCACAGTTTAAAACATATTTTAGTTTGCAACTTTATACTTGGATGCTATGTTTAACTGTTTTCAGTTATAAATTTATAAATTCTTAATTGCAAAATACTGTCCTAATTTCCTTGAAGGACCGTTTGCTAAAATTTGAAGTAGGAATCCTTTCTGGAGAATGGCATTATGTGATGTTTGGTAAAAGTTAATCTCGCCCCTATTTTTTTTTTTAAAATAAAATCAGTCATTACTAAACAATTATATTACATTCTTTTTGCAGGCTCGGCTTGCCTTTTGCAAGTTTATGGTTAAACCATTGACTCTTCTTGTTCTTGACGAGCCAATCAATCATTTAGACATACCCACGAAAGAAATGCTTGAGGTTTAGTTTCTGATATATATATATATTTTCCTTTTTTCCCCCTTCTTTGTAACTTTCTTACACAGTAGTGCTTCTTAACAATTCTCGTCATTTTTTTGTTTATTTGTGATTGTTAGGAGGCGCTAAATGAGTACCAAGGGACTGTCATCACAGTTTCTCATGACAGATACTTCATAAAGCAAATTGTTAATCGGGTTTTGGAAGTGAGAGATGGGTTTCTTCAAGACTATTCAGGAGACTACGATGTAAGTCTGAGGTCTCTGCACTTTATGTGGGATATTTTCATTTTCATTTCACTAATTTCTGTTCCAAGATATAACTGTTTTCAAAAAGTACACATCTTTTTTCTTCTTTCCACTCATCTCTCTTAAAAGAAGCAAATCATTACTGCACATATCCATTCAAATCACTTTCAAATTTCAATCACGACTATTTGTATATCCGTCGTCTATCATCATGAGTTTTTTCATCTCCCGACAAATCACCCCCCCCCAAATTCATCTCTCTTTATTTATATATATATATATTTTTTTTGTAAAACGTTTCTCTGAAGATGGAAGTTAAAAGAAATGAAATCTTGTGCGGACTCTTAGCTTGTAATTTTTGTGTAAGTTGTGATTTTGGGATTATAATTGTACTTTTAGTGCTATGATTTACTTTGGTACCTCATTTGAAATCTGATTTGCATCCATTTTGAATTTGTTGACTCCATCTTAATTAGTTTTTACTTTTTTTTTATTACTGTGACAGTATTATTTAGAGAAAAATATTGAAGCAAGAGAAGGGGAGCTCGAACGGGAGGCAGAGCTTGAAGACAAATCTCCGAAAGCCAAAGCTAAATCCAAGATGTCCAAGGTAAATATAATTTTGATGTTTCTTTCATTATCTTTTTCTCTTCGCGTTTGGCAAACCTCAATTGTAAGCTTTCTTACTTATTAACTAACCTTTAGTACATTAATTGTCCTTGTAATTTATTTATCGTCAAACATTTTAACCAGGCCGAAAGGGAAGTTAGGAAGAAACAGAAAATGCAGGCATTTCAAGCTGCAAAACAGAAATCAAAAGGATTGAAGAACGCCAAAAGATGGAAGTAAATATTATACGCGATCTCATTTTTTATGGATATTTTACTAATTAAGCTTTGTATAGAGAAAAGAAGAAGGTTGGTGTGTTATCATTCTGTATATAACAAGATATAGAATAGGTACCCAATGAACATACCAGCTGAGTTGTGCAAACATTATTGTCATATATGTTTGGCCACAATTCAGATGTATTTTCTCACAAATTCCATGTATATTAATGTATGGAATTAATTTAGCCTTTTCAATTAAACCTGGAGGTGATGAACTTTTTATTTGATTTTTGTAAATATGCAGTGTATCTCAAGGATGAAAGTATCCGGTATTGAATCAGGCAAGCAAATAACTTAGAACAGTTATTACGAAAGGCTCTTAGTCATAAATAATAATAATAATAACTCTAAGTTTTTTGGTAACAGTTGGTTAAACTTTAAAGAGCATTTAGATTTTTATTTTTGAAGCTTTAATGACGATATTCAGGAAATTTGAGTACCATGTAATGAAACTAAAGGTACTGTTGGATACATCGAGATAATAACTTGAAAATGACATATAATTTGTTGAAATTCAATTATATATTTTGTTGAAATATGCCATGGAAGAGTGAAGACAAACACAATTATTTTTTAATGATTTTGGAAAAGAAAATAATAAAATTAAAGGGAAATATTGAAAATATTTTTTTTATATATTTTCAATTATTTTTATTTGATTTAATTTTATTATAATTCAAACTGCGTCGTTTAATTCTCACAGTCACAATTAGAGATGTTAAACGGGCTAGCCCTAGTGGTTTCGGGCTAGCCCTAGCGGTTTCGGGCTAGCCCTAGCGGGCTTCGGGCTAAACGGTCCGGACCTAAAAAGCCCGAATTTAAACAGGCTACCAAAAAAAGGACATAACCCTAATCCTAACGGGTTTCGGACTAAACGGGCTATGCGGGCTATAATAATAATAATAATAATAACAACAACAGTAATAATAATAATGATAATATATAAAAAATGAAAGTAAAAAGAGTAAAATATAAAAAAAAAAAATTACAGCGGCTACTTAACAATTGTTTTCAACGACTATTTACTATTTATCGTCTATCACTATGTGTTTCCTATTAGTCCTTCTGATTGGCTTAAATATTTTGGTATTTATACAATAACAAAATGGTTAATAATTATCTTTCAAAATCATAATAATCCATTACAACTCATACTTACATGTGAAGTGGAATAGCAAAATTATAATATACAAGAAATCTAAGAACATATTACTTACTTAATGCAAACATTTACACCGCCCAACCCTAGTTAAACGAGCAGCCCTAGCGGGTTCCGGGCTAGCCTTGGCGGGCTTCGGGCTAAACGGTCCAGGCCTAAAAAGTCCTGATTTAAATGAGCTACTAATAAAAGGACCTAACCCTTTTTTTTCCGGACTAAACGGGTCGGCCCATCGGGCCAATGACCAATTATGTCACAATATCCTCTCCTCGCACACACTGCACAGGGCAGTTTTCCCTGAGCGTGAGTGTATTTTCGCGCATTATATGAGTGTGCACTTTACTTGAGTAGTTTTGAATTAGCAGTACAAATGGGCCCTTTTGCGTTGGCTGTTGACGCGAAGAACACATCTTCAGGTAACTGAATTCTCCGTTTATTTCATAATTTGAGATGCCTTATTAATGAAAAAAATGTCTAGCTGCAGAAAAGAATTGATGGAAATGATTTGTGAATTCGAAGTTAGCAGAAAAAAATAGATGGAATTGATTTGTGATTGACAATGGCTGTGTTTTGAGTGAAAGAAAATCTTCGACAAGCTGTTCGTTCCGTAGGATGAGAACTGAAGTTTGTTTTCGTATTTTTATGTCTGAATTATGTCAGGCGATGTTTTGTAAATTGCGTTTTTTACTCCTGTTTTTGGATGTAATAAGGTTGATTGTTGCTGAACAAGTAGAAGGGGATAAATACCAGAAACAAATTAATTTTGTGCTTCCTATGAGGTCAATAATCCTATTTACTATTATTATGCAGATTCTTGCAACAGGAAAATGAGGGACCTTGTGAAACCGAAAAGAAAGTTCTTTGCCTCAGTCAATGTGAAAGATGAAAACCCTTTCGATTTTTTGCGAATATTATTTGGTATGCTATGTGTGTAGTTCCATTCATATCGTCATTATTTTTTTTTACGGTTTTCCGTTTGTTTTTTTAGTTTTTTAATCTTATTTGTGAATTACATTTACTAGGAATGAATATCATATTCTCTAGTAGCACTTCTTAAATCTTGATAATCTCTCACACTGACACTAGCTTGATTTGAGCACTTCTTATGTATAGGAAGAAAACTCAGACATTATTTGAGTGACGAGAAATATTTTTTTAGGGAAAGGTTCCTAGTTTTGTGGAGATAAATCATGACTGATAATTTTATCATGTTCATCTCCAAAGGTGGCTCCATTAACTCAATGCATTAAAAATATAACAATAACGATATTTTGCAGAGGGTTTTATAGCAGGCGGTACAGCTGGTGTTGTGGTTGAAACTGCTTTATATCCTATTGACACAATAAAGACACGACTGCAGGTAAGTTTTTGTCTGAGCTACAAATGTTGGAAGAAGGGTTTTACCATCGAATTTTTCTGAATATTAAGTTGCTGGGTGATTTACATAGGAATCTTACTACTTTGCCTTTTCACTTCATATTTTTAATTAGATACCTATACCTGCATGGATTGTGTGAAATACAGCCTTTTTTTTTTGCTTAAATATTATTTATATTATTTTCTTTATGTTCTGATTACATTTATAATATGCTTCTACACAAATGTCCTTAGTACCTCTTATTTGCCTCAGTAGCTTGATTGTTTTTCAGGCTGCACGTGGTGGAGGTAAAATTGTTCTCAAAGGTTTATATTCTGGACTTGCTGGAAATCTTGCTGGGGTTTTACCGTAAGAACATGGTTCAATTACAATCATTTAATTCTTACACAAGTGAAATTGTGAATAAATGTGTGTTGTCTTCTGTTATGCATTTTATCTTTAGGCCCCTAATCAGGCAACATGCATAAATACATTCAAGTTCTGTTTGTAATGGTGTGTTCTTTTGAAACACTGTATGAGCTCAATTATATGTTTGGTACTTCTTTAAGGATAAAAAAATGCAATAATCACACGATATTTAGACTAATTGTAAATTCTATGACAGTGCATCTGCTGTTTTCGTCGGTGTTTACGAACCTGCCAAGCAGAAACTCTTAAGGAGCTTCCCTGAAAATCTCAGTGCTGTGGCTCATCTGGTAAAAAAAGAACTATATTCTACTTTATCATTGGTTTTTTCAAGATCAAATCTTGAGTGAAAATCTTGGACATTATATGCCTTCTTATTCGATACGAGTCCGATTTTTATGCAGACTGCTGGTGCACTTGGAGGCCTTGCTGCTTCTTGCATTCGGGTGCCTACAGAGGCAGATATCTCAATTTTTTACTTTTATCTTTGTTTTTTCACTTATTCTTTCTCACCTTGCATTATTTATTTATTTATTTATTTTCCTGGTCTCATGCCTAGTCTTTGATGGCTTCAGGTCGTTAAGCAAAGAATGCAGACTGGGCAATTTGCTTCCGCACCTGATGCTGTCCGCCTTATTGTTTCCAAAGAAGGCTTTAAAGGGCTTTATGCTGTACGGTTTTTACCTTGCTCTTATTTATTTGAAATCAACTTGTCCTGTTTCTTTGTAGTATTAAGATGAAATTATAGTGAAAAAAAAATGAAGGAATGAGAATGAATTTCAGCATTGAGATCATCTCATTTTTCCAAAACCATTTTTTGTGCATGTTAAAAAACACTATTATGCTTGATTTTCGTATGTTAGTTAATAATACTAATATTGCATGTTAAGTGCCATTGTTGTGAGATCGCATGCCAAATAATGTTCTAATGTTGGAACTTCTCATATATTACACTATTAGCACAATGACGTAAATGTCACAAATAAGATATATTCACACCATTGCACAATCCTGTATTCCTATGTATACATTATATATATTTATATATTTCTTGAAGCTTCATTGAGGCAAACTTATATTATTATTTTCCAAAGAATTGAATGATCAAATACTCTTTTTTGGTAACTGCTTCACATCACTTAAGCATGATACTCCTTGAACTAAATACAAATTACAATTTTATTGTAGGGATATGGATCTTTTCTGCTGAGAGATTTGCCGTTTGATGCGATACAATTTTGCATCTACGAACAACTCAGAATAGGTTATAAACTGGCAGTAAGTGCTCCATTCTTCAAAAGTGATTATTCGGCGATTTTCTTTTTTCTTTTTTTAGCTTTGTCATGAAATTTTTTGCTTGTATCTAAGGAAAGCTCCTTCAATTGACTAGATAAATTGTTCGAAAATGGGCCGTTAGATGTCATACAATTAATATTTGAAGTTCTGCTAATGCAATCATTGTAATCCTATTTAGGCGAAGAGAGATCTGAATGGTCCTGAGAATGCTGTAATCGGTGCTTTTGCTGGTAATTTTTAATTTCCAGTAGCCTTCTGTAAATTTTGTTTATGTATGCCTTTTATTTTCCTTTAATCATCAACAACACATATCTTCAACATCAGCAATAACATTTTCCTATCCACTTTCTCTTTGATGTTCAGCAATAATAAAATTGTACACTCTGATGACAAATTTATTCGGTTAATCCAAAAAACAATTTGAACTTTCTTTTTATTCATTTAGGTGCTTTGACTGGAGCAATAACCACTCCTCTGGATGTGATTAAAACTAGGTTGATGATTCAGGTATATGAATTATGATTACTTCATATGTAGTTATTTGTTTTTCCCCCTCAATCATGCATATATTTGTTGGTGAAATTTGTTGCGTGTGAAAACCAGTATAAAGGCATTGTTAGCTGTGTCCAGACTATAGTGAAAGAAGAAGGCCCCAGGGCTTTACTCAAGGTACATCTCAATATTTTGCATGTAAATAGTAAAAATAAAAATTAAAAGGAAACAATCCAACTCAAACAATTGTTTTTACCATACAAAACATGCACAGACTGATTTGCGAATTTACATATCCTGAATAATTCTAAACGATAAATATGCATTTTTGTCTATAACCTCAATGATAGTTTCTGTAAGTTATCCAAAAATAAACATAAAAGGCCCGACTGTCAATAGAGAACACATTTTTGGCCATGTTGAGGCCAACGAGATTAGGACTTCTCATTCGGTCAAAACCGAACAAAACTGACAGAATTTTCGGTCTATCCATTATAAGAACCGAAAACCGAACCGAAATTTATCTTTTGGTTCGATTTTTAACCGAAATTCAGCGATCGGTTCGATTCGGTTATCGGCTAATCGCAATAAATTTTGAATTTTTAATCGAACCAAAAAATTGATTTTTTATCATCTTATTTAATCTTCTCAATAAATTCCAAATACTTCTCTAATGAAGATCTCGGACCTGAACCATGTCTTTGACTATGACCAAGCCATCCAATTTTGAGTGCAAATTAATGCTTGAGCCATTTTAGGAGTTATTAAATCTCGAAAATCATCAATCATAGAAGTAAATTGATGTTTTTTATTATAACTTACATATATATATATATATATATATATATATATATATATATATGCATAAATCAGTTTTCGGCATTGTTTTTTGACCCGGACCGGTCCAGCGGGTCGACACGGGACCCAGTCGACCCGGAGCCGAACCCGATCCGGGTGGACTATTTGGACCGGGTAACAATGGACCCGGTCCGGGTGGGCTATTTGGATCGGGTAACAATGGACCCGGTCAACCCGGCATTGACCCGGTCTCTATAATTTTTTTAAATATTTTTTATATAAAAAATAAAAATTATGTGAATAGAATGATAGGAGATTCTACAGTCCCGTTATGGAACCATTCCGTCGAGATTGGTAACCGTTAGATCAACTATTCACGACGGTTACATGATGATCTAACGATTACAAATTCGACGGAATGGTTCCGTAACGGGATTCTAGCATTTCTCTATAATGATATAGTAAATATTTATTGTGATATACAATATTATTAACACTTAAATGTATAAATTTTGTATACAAAATATTTATTTTTGTTACTTTTATGTATATTTATATGTCAAAAATACTATATATATAATTTTGAAAATTTTAAAATTAATATCCGGTTAAGCAATTGACCCGGTGACCCGGCGATTGAATCGGTGACCTGGTAACCCAGAGACCTACCCGGGTCGATTTTCGGGCCGGGTTCAAAAACTATGGTTTTCGGTTCAGTTTGGTTTGGTTAACCGATCACTGTTATCCAAATCAAACCGAAAATAGAAATTTTAAAAAAATGTAAAACGGAAACTAAACCAAATATTCGATTTCGATTTCGGCCCAAATCGAATTTTCGATTTCGGTCAGACCGGCTCGATTAACTGAATTTTGTCCACTCCTAAACGAGATACACGTTTCATGTCTTGCATCAACAGGGAATTGGGCCAAGGGTGATGTGGATAGGCATAGGCGGGTCGATATTCTTTGGTGTTCTTGAAAGCACAAAGCGCCTCCTTGCAGAGAAGCGTCCCAAAAAATCGGGTGAGTCGCTTTGAAAGATCGTGCTTTCATATATTCTTAGGAGTTTTGATTCTTTTAGGCACATATGGAATAATTTTGTTCACATTGTCTTAGGACATAAAACCATGTACATTGATAATATAAGCAGTTATGGAGTTATTGAGATCATTGTTTATTTGAGCCTAACACAAAGATAATCAAACCCATATGATTAAGTCTAGGTATTTCTTCTGAATATACATGTGTGACAAGCTGAAATTTCATTTTCTTTTTTTTTTTTTGTTAATCATTTTAATGTTGCAACAATAGAGTCAATAACACATGAGTTAAATATGACTACCTTGATCTTGTATTGTAGTTGATACTGTAAATTTTGAAGTAAAATTTTAAGTTGGGACTGGAAAAATATGAAATCAAGAAATTCTATGAAGTGATTCATGAAATTGACACATAGACTAAGTGTATTTACTTTAGTACATGTATCAATACATCATCTATAAATAATTGTGAAGAGTATGATGTAGTACCAAAAATGCTGAAAATGACTACATAGTACATGCACACACGAATATATGTAACTATATTATGAATATTCTTAGTAATATATAATAAATATTACTTTCTCAATAAGGAACTAGGTTTTTATTACATGCTTGAACTTTTACATTATTGTTTCCAAAAATCTATGAAATTGGTCCTTGAAGGGCCCTTCTGTGGAGCCCAAAAGTAATAAGTTGTGGGCCTAAGGCATCATCAACTTTGAGGAAAATAAGGTAATGAAAACAAGGCGCACAAACAAAGCCCGAAAGTTGCGATAATGGCAGTCCAACTCTAGCCAAGCAACTATTATAATAATATTGAAGTACAAACTTTGTCCTATAATTTATTTAATATTATACATAGTAAAAAAGTTTTTTGTCCTTACAATTTTATTGAAATGCACTATTAGGTCCATTAGTTATTTGTTTCCAATAAATATATATAATCTTAGGGTCTCAAATCTATGCAATGACTATAACATTAAACGAAATAAGTTAATCAAGGGTTCGACTCGATTTACCTCGTTAAAAGCTCGTAGATAATGAATTGTAACAGATTGAACTCACATTCTTGTTTCGCTTGACTCGATCAAGGTTCAAGTCCGAATTTGAATTTAACTCAACTTCAATGATTTGGCTTTTTTACACCACTATTACATTTTTTTAATTCCACAAGTGAATAATGTAACATTTTTCACTATGATACCCTATGCACTCCGAATAATACTTAGGATGTCTATTGGATATAAAGAATCTTACTTTTCTTCAGTTAGAGACTAATTTTAACTAAATTACGTGTTAATACTTATTAGTCACACCTCACTTCCAATCATTATTTTTGTTAACTACTTTTTAATTATGTTTTGTCATTTATCTTGATCTCATACTAATGGCTCTCTTTAGTAGTTACTATTATTATTATTATTATTGTTATTAAATTATCATCATCCAATAAACTATTTGGTCAATGCAATGACACGTGAATGATAAAAAAATATGTACATTGTTCAATATTTTTTTGTGCGCGTCTTTATTGGAAGAAAAAGAAGAGCACGTGAGAGGGGTTCCATTTTCAAGGTTACTTTGATTAAAAGCATCAATTATTATTATTTTTTTGTTTGTTGTTCACAAACTTCCAAAATTTCCTCTTAGATTATCACTTTAATTATAAAAAACATTATCCTTCTTAATTAAAAGAAGAAGTGTGGGTTGCTTGATGCAGCCCTCCGGTGTGCCACCGGTGACCACCACCATTGATATGCTTAGAGCCGACAATTAATGTCGTGATTGGATACAATATTTTTTCGCAAAAAAATATTCTCATATTAAAATGAGATGAAAAAGTGGACAATTTTGTTTTTAGAAAAATGAGATAGATTGAAGTTATTTATGAATCTATGATAATTTAAAATATTATTATTAAAGTTGATGTAACATAAATATAATTAAATTTTAATTTATAGTAATTGATAGTTAGAAATATGTGAGGGTAAACAATATTTTTTAATTTAAAAATGATAAAAATCATGATTTCGTTTTAAGCGTTCGGCAACTACGTCATCAAGAGTTGTAATATAATCGAGTTTTTCGTATTCGCTTCGAGATTCAAATTTAGGGCTTGATTGTTTATGAATTATTTCATTCCCATTTATTTTATACTCAAAATCTAACTCAACTTTAACTCAACCCCACTATCTTTAATATTATTCATATAACTAAACAATAGAAACCAATCATTCTTACACATCACATCAACTTCAATTCACTATTCATCCACTCACATAATTTTAACTACCAATCATTTCCAATCATTTATCTCCTACTTTTACATCATATCAATTTTAATCATTTTATTTTAAATATTACTCCCTCCTTTTTAAATTAGATGTCGTTTTGACTTTTTTGATTCATCCATTTTGCTACGTATCTAGACATATTTTAATGTCTAAATACGTAACAAAATGGATGAATCAAAAAAGTCAAAACGACATCTAATTTAAAAAGGAGGGAGTATTATAATACATTCTTAAAATTCTACTAACAACTAACCATACTACCTTTTTCAAAATTAACTACGGTTAACCAAAATAATTCATTTTGAACAAATTATTTCATAAACAATCACCCCCAGTATTCGTGAAATTCGAACCCGAATAAGAATAGTGTTATGCATTCGATATTTACACGAATCTTGGGTGTTTCACCTGTGCTAATCGAGGTAAGAGTAGAGATGTTAAATAGTCCTTGGCCCGATGGGCCGACCCGTTTAGCCCGAAAAAAAACAGGGTTGGAGCTCAAAGTACCGAATATTAACATCTCTTACCGAATATTAACATTAGAAATATTAACTTTAGTTGAAATCATATATGATAGTCATACATAAGTTAACTTACTAATTTTGGAGATTTTACAAGACTAGACTATTTTATATATGATGAAATGCTAATCTATGCATGCATGAGGGAAGAATAAGGGCTCAAAGTACCATTCATATTAATTTAATGATTAATTAATATGAATCATTATGTAAATTCGTTTGTCTAGTGTAGCAGGCCTGTACTATTAATTTTCACATAAAATAATGTAAATTTATACTATACTTACTTTATATATTCATCTAAGATGAATCATATTATTGTCACCCTTATAAGGTAGACAAAAATGGATGGAAAAATTGCACACGTACGTATTTTATCATGTTTTTCCATTTTGATGAAAGATAGGAATCTCATTGGTCCACAACTTGAGGACATGAAATTGGCCACAAGTGTTAATTTTCTCTTTTTCCCTTTGTGGCTTTTCTCATTGCATGGCTTATATGTTATATTATATATCTTTCATAAATTAATTTTAATGATATTTATTTCACATTACTATCTTTGTAGCTATAATCAATACTTTTATTATCAAGAATTTAAAATTTATTGAATTCGTTCACAAGACATACATTACAGTTATCGTGTGAGGACGAATTTTAAATTCAAGTTAAGATGGCTGTTTTATGTTTACCAAAATTTGACAGAGTCAATGAAGTCATCACTGCTGTATCAGTAAGCAAATAACGAAGTATTTCCGAATAAAACTAAAAAATGCATTTTAGTAAAATATTTATGTTAGCATGAAATTCAGATTTTTTTTTTTTGGAAAATATGTGGCTGAAGAAAGGAGACAATATTAGCTGGCGAAGATTTTAGATATAAAAAAAAAATTGTCAAAAGGCTTTAGAAGAAGCACTATTTTAATTTCTAAGAGTAATTTGTCTAACCATTTTGAGAGTTGGGGCCAAATAACGTCCCTCACCCATACTTTCTCAATATGTGTCAATTTCACCACTTAGAAGAACAACAAATTAGTTCATACAAAATAAATAAATATTACATTTATCATTATATAAAAATTAATTTATCTATTAATATTAATTAAAAAATAAATTATTTAAATTAGTTTAACTACAAAATTGTTAAATGATATAATTTAAAAATTATTATAATATAAGATGGTAAGCCGTATAAATGATGAGTCTCATTTTAAATATAAATAATAATATTGTTATTTAAAAAAAAATATTTGAAATCTAAAACAATTTTTGTATATTACTATTTTTAACTTTGAATATAAATTTGTAAACAAACACTCATATAATACACGAGTATATACAAATCAACTTTAATTCACTAGTGATTCACTCACTTAATTTTAACTAATCATCATTTTACATTATCTCTCTCATATTTTTACAACAAATCAATTTTAATTATTTTAATTTAAATATTTTTAATATAAATTTAAAATCACACTAATAACTAATCATATTAATTATTTTTTTCAAATTAATCTTAACTAACCAAATAACTCGTTTTGAACAGATATATTTGTAATACATCTCCTAACGGAAATGAACGAAAAATGTTAAAAGCGACAGCATGGTAAACTCCCTCTAATACGTTGACAGGATGTGGCCCACACGCGCGTGTTTAGTTGTACACCTGTCAATTTTCACTAACCCATAATTCATAAACAAAACATACAAATTTCAACACAGTTAGCGTTGTCCCTCTATATGCCAATTCCCGTCTCTCTCACTCGCTCTCACGCACGTGCATTTCCTTTTCTTTTCGGATTAGTCAATGTCCGCATTCTCGTCTCTTCTCAATTCATCACAACTTGTGATTTAAACGGTCTGTCTTGTCTCTCGATTTAATCTATATTTCATTCACGATATAATTTGTTGATTATTATATATATTAAATACTCCAACATTTTGAGAATACTATTTACGGAAATATAAATCTAAAAAATATATGAAACACAATATTTAGGAAAAAGAAAAAATTGTTTTTGCTTTTTTTTTTTTAAATAATAAAAAAAGATAGATTAAATTGTATTCACATCTGATCCGCCAATTTGAGCCCGAAAACCTGATCAACGGGTCTAACCTGACCCGAAGGCCACCTCGAATTGCAGAAAACCAAAAATTGTAGTGTTTTTCCCAATAAATATCATATATATTGTTGTTTAGGTTTTGATTGGTTAATTATAAAATAAATCAGTTATTTTTGGTTGGATATTTTTTTTTTTACAAATTTATAACTCAAAATTCAACTCAAATTTAATCTAATTCAACTCTTTTCAATATTAAAAATATAGTTAAGTAATACTCGTACTAATCAATCATACTCGCATATCAAATGAAATATTCATTCATTCACATAA